TTTTTTTTTTTTTTTTTTTTTTTTTTTTTTTTTTTTTTTTTTTTTTTTTTTTTTTTTTTTTTTTTTTTTTTTTTTTTTTTTTTTGTGCATTGGTTCAATATATTAATGACGGGTTGAGGATGGAATACTGATTTTAATTTTGAAACTTTGTTATAAGATTTAGACTAAAGTTTGAGTAAATAAATGGAAGGTTCAAAGTAAAAACATTTTCCTATTTGGATAACATTTTTTTTTAGGTTTTTAAACGGTTAGATATGTATGTACGTGTAGGTGATTAGTCTATAATTTGTGTGTTTATTGTAGCAATTATCTATTTAGGCTCTGCATTAATTGTACCACTAGGGGCACCCATTGGCCGTCCCTCGTCGTTGTTTTTAGTCATCAACAAGTTAAGATCGCACAACAACGCACACACTCAACGAAGAACAAGATAGAGAAAATGTAAGGAGAATATTGCTAAAAATTTGTATTGATGACTCCAAGTATCTACAGAGAATAAAGAAAATATAGAGAACATAATAGAGAAAATGTAAGGAGAATATTGACTAAGGATTTGTATTGATATATATATATATATATGGTTTAGTTTATCCTATAAATATCTATTTACTATTTATGATAATTTACCTACGGAATATAGTTTTACCGTATATATAACTAAGCTATAAATAACTAGGCTACTTAACCTAATACATTTTCCATATTTTAGATATGGTCACACGATGTTGGCTCCTTTTTGAATGAGTTATAATCTAACAATTTATTTTATGTTTTCTACTCTTTAAAGAATGAAAACTTCATTAAAGATCCATATTGTTCATATCGAGAGCAATTCTAAAAATTTGATTATTAAAATTACTTAAAAGAATTGATAGTTACTACATGTGAGTGACGATAACGTCAGGGTGGTGCAAAAAAACTAAAAATATGAAATTCATTTGTATGGAAGGAGATGACAAAGGTTGATGATGTGAAAAGTGAAAAAGGACACAAAATCTTATGAAGGGACCATAGGATTTTGTTAGAGATCATGATTCCACTTTGGGAAAATATCTGTCATCTCCCATGAAAATTAGGGTTTAAGCTTTTTGGGTTTAACAGGAATTTTTGTTCTTATAAAAAATGAAAAACCAAATATTTTCCATTTCAAGTGCCTTTCTCTCCAATTATTTCAATTTCCTAAATAATGTTTTATTATTTATAGTTTGTTTGTACATATAATCCATATTAATTAGTATGTGTTTCTCACGACATGTAATGTATTTGTGAAAGAGTTCTATTGTTGTAGTGGAACCACATGATAGCTTGATTGTGGATTGAGGTTTCGTTTTGTTTCTGAATTTGATAGCGCTGCGTGTCCATGTGGTATGGCATGGCATTGAGTACGACCCTTTGTAGTGCGTTAGTGGGGCGGCCTTATAAAGTGATGCCTCGCACATCCACCCTCCCTTGCATTCCCCTCACCTCCCTCTCTCTTTCTCTAGTGCTTACGTTGCGTGTTCATATGTCCAACAACACTTGTCATTTCCACCACCACTATTCTTTTCTCGATTTGGCAGGATGATATCAAAATCACAAACATGATATGTTTTTCTTTCAAACCTACTTTCGATGAAGTTGATTTGTGAGGAAAACCTTATGAAAAATGTGACGGTCGTGTAGAATAGGAAGTATGATCAGGTCGCCTCGTGCTCATAACAGACTTAATGTAGTTAGGATGGATCAAGCCATGCCTTTGAACACACACACAACAGTACCACCACTAGGACGTCGAGCAAGAAAAATCATTGTGGAACAGTTGTAGAAAGAGCCATAGAGGAGGATATTGGTTTAGGAGTTTAATGTGTTATAACTATGGTAGAAGGGATACATCGTCATGATTTGTGAATAGGAGAACTTAATGGGCTACGTACCCACTGGCCCTCAAGTTTCACTCAAGCCTCAGACCAAAACACGCTTAATAACAAACAGAGAAAATATTGTTTGTTTATAAATCCATAATCATTCCATCTAATACCTTCCCTCAAACAAATTTACCATTTTTTAAAATATTTTATAACTATTACTATTCTTGAAAAATAAAAAAAATAAAAAAAAAAATCTAAAAAATCTTTATATACCCTTTACTTTTCTTTGGGTATTACAAGAACCAATGAAGATACCATGAATGAAGATTAAAATATTAAATGTGATAGATGATAATATAATAAGGGTCAAAGTATGTGAATGAGACACTAGAAGAATCACTTTATGGGAGGGGGAAGAATCTCAATTATTTTTGAAGATTTGTTTAGTCCAATAATAAATTCCCTATTTTCATTATGGAGACATTAAAGTGAAATCCAATAAGTGAGGCACAGATGAGATGGATAAAGATGCCACATGGAATGTAGTTAGGTCCGGCCCTTGAAACATGATGGATAAGGTCGATTTTAGAACTATAAATTGGTCCCATAAAATCTTTTGGACCAATCCAAAATTTTGAGTTAATTGTGTGGGCGAGCCCATATAATCGAAGTAGAATTCACAATTCAATCAAATTCTATATTTTCGAGTTGGGTGGTTAGATTAATCAAATAATAATTATATCAATTTAACCTCTAAACTTTCTATTATAATATTTAAAAAAAAAATTGTTAATATATCCTTTAACACTTGTACACCAATTTTTTATTTTTTATTATATTTATATTTATAGAGTAATTTTTATTTGCATTTAAATAGGGCAATTTGTGGTAACCAACAAAATAGAGCAAGAAGAGAGACATGGAAGAGTGTTATGATTGAGGTGAAATCATATGATAAACAAAAAAGAAATGCACGTGATCTTGATTGATCTATGCTCCATGCTCCATGCTCCTCGTAAAGACAGGACCTCCACTCTTTCCCACATCACTGGTCGGTGGTTTTATGAGTTTTCATATCGGATTGTAATTCAATAAATCAAACACATGATGACTAGACAGACTTATGATCAACAACTGGGTGCCATAGGTTATGTTTAATTATAAACCTAATTTCCAAATCAGTAATATTTTATAAATGCTAATCAGTTGCTATTTTTTTTTTTATTATCTCGTAGATCATATTAAAATTTGAAAACTGTGTTGAATTTTTATTCCTATTTAAAAAATATATATACTTAGGTAGGAAGTAA